CCCTCGCCCGCCGCCCGCCGCCATGGCCCGGCTGCTGCGCCCGCTGCTGCGCTTCGCCGGGGCCGCCCGCCGCGGGACCCGCCCGTGCAGCCTGGGCGCCTGCGCCTCGTATCGCCTCCGGGACGGCGGTGAGTGCCGGGCTGGGCCCCGGGAAGGGCCCCCCGCCCGGGCCGGGGAGAAGCGGCGAGCCCCCCCGGAGGAGAGGCCCCCCGCCGAGGCTCCCCGGGCGCCCCCCAGGCAGCCCCGCGCTTCCGCACGCCGCCGTTCGCTGCGCTCGGGGGCCTCTCGTGTCGTGCGGCGACTCCTCGGTCCGGGAGCTTCTCCCCTGCGCCGCCGGGCGTGGGACGGGACGGGACGGCTGGGGCAGCGCCCGGCAGAGGGTCAGGAGGGGCGGGCGGTGGGGGGGGGGGTCCATGAATGCAACATGTACGCTGTGCTGTGCACTCACAGATGTTCTCTTGCTCTAGCCCCACACCGCTTGAGGGCCGGGGGCTTCCTCCCAGGTAAAGGTGTGCAGGGGTTCAGCCCGAGCTGCATCTGTCATCAGGTTTCAGTTTGCCCGAAAGTCCGCATTCTCGGCGGCCCCTCCGCCCCCAGCTCCACGTTCCCGAATGCAGGGCAGAAATGCTTGTTCTCTTTCAATCCGCACAAGCATTTTAAAGCAAACTTTCATATCGTCGGATTGGCATCTTTTTTAGCTGGTAGAAGGACTGAGGTGTCTTCGTCTCTGTGTGTGTGTGTGTAACCTTTTTCACTGTATTGTCTCATTTGGGGGTTGTTTTCCATACACCTGTGGAAATCCTTTTGCAGAGGAAACCTGCTTGGTGGGGTTTATCTGTCTTCCAAATAAATGTGTCACTCTGTGACCGGTTTCACCCCTTTCTGCTCCTTCTTCCTCTTCCTCCCCCACTTCTGTGTCTGCTGGAGGGCCTCTTTTTCCTTTCCCTCAGTGCGAATCTTCTCCAATTTCCCTGCAACGGGACCCCCTATTGATTTATCTACAAACCTAATGTTTTCTCAACCCCCCTTCCCTATTCGCCCCCCTGAATGCCCCTCCTTAAACTTTTCTCCTGTTTTCTGCTTGTTTTTGCACCCAAAAGAGACCGGCTATTCTGCCCCCACCCCAAATTCCCCTAAGATTGGGATGCCTACAGCAGTCCGAGTCATTCCCCAACCACACCACACAGTCCACCCCTCCTTTCCCACCCTCCCGATTTTCCGGACCCAAACCCCACCCACCTCCCAGTCTCAGCACTTCAGGCGCCTGGCCCATTCTGGGCTTTGCTTGCCTCCGTGTGGCCTCCATGTGGAAATGCCACGGCCGCCCAGGCATCGTTTCTCCCTGGCCGTCTGGTCCGGTGCCTGCCTCAAACTCTGCTTATTTGCATCCGTATCTCTCTCAACAGAAGAGCTATTCCGTGGTTTTTATGCAAGAGGGTCATCTTTAAGAAAGCTGCTGTGCCTTGCCATGGGATGGTTTTGCTAGATATTAATCTTGCTCTAATTGCTGCTTTAATGAATTCTGTACGCTGCTCCGTGCACCACAGGGCGTGAAATATTGGCATGTCAGACGTAAATACATCAGTGTCTGAATCCCGGAGCAATCGGCTGCCCAGTGGCGTCTTTGCCGGCTTTGCTTTGACGCACTTCCCTCTGCAGTCCTTTCATCGGCCTTCGTGGCTTTTCCCCTGGCAGGCCCTCCGTCCCGCTTGTGTCGCTTCTTTTGTTTTGCGGGCAAGGCCTTCTGTGTGCTTGGCGCGACCTGACGATCTTTGGGTCCTGGCCTGCATTTGTGAGCACGCGCTGTTGCGTGTGTAGCCTAAAAACCATTCGGGATCGCTCCGGATCGCTCAAAGCTGCCCCTCTGCTCTCCTTCTAGTGCATCCGTTATGGCAGAGCCCGATAACGATCCCAGGGGGCAAGCGGCAGTCTCCGATCAATATCCAGTGGCGAGACAGCGTGTACGACCCGCACCTCAAGCCCCTTGAAATACGCTACGATCCTGCCACCTGCCTTCACATGTGGAACAATGGCTATTCGTTCCTGGTTGAGTTTGAAGACTCCACCGATAAATCAAGTAAGGCTCGCTGTGCCCTGCAGGTTCCGGTCGGAGTTCTGGCCTTGCTCGTCACCCATACGGCGGCGAAGACGGAGCTTAGAAAAAGCGACTTGGACAGAACTGCGGATGATGGTTTCTTGTGGCTAGAAAAACGAGACGACGATGCATAGTGCAAATCGTTGTTCTTGCATTTGGCTTTGATGGTGTGCCACACACTTTTTAAACACAAGAGTGTGTTCTGCATCATTTCAATTGGCCGCCTGCTTGTTTCCGGGCCCAGTTCAAGATGCTGGTTTAGTGATTCCTGCCCTTAATGCCCTGGGACCGCATTCCAAAAGGAAAGGACTGTTTGCGCTTGCCAAGCGTTAAGGGAAGTGGCAGAAGCCCTGTGCTCTGGTTCACCAGTGAGATCATTTTATTCCCCTCCTTGGGAGCGGAGCCTGCTGGAGCCGGGGGTCAGACTAGATGACTCAGGAGGCCCCTTCTGGCTCGCTCTATGTTTCTATGTTCCTCTGCGGTGGAAATAGGCCCCCATTTTTGTCCAAGCAATAGCCCTCAGTGGAAAGTTAGGCTGCAGTGGCCGGGTTCACACAACGTGTGTGTGGTTGCTGCCATTCGCAGTTTTTTACCATGATCTGCCCAACAGAACAGAAAGGGTGTTTCCTACGTTCTTATAGTTTCCATGCTTCCCACTCAGCCTTCCCACTGTTGGCAGGTATCCCACCTCACCTGAAATTCAGCCCCAAGGTGCATTGCTCCCACCCTGCGTAGCCTGATTCTTTCTCATTGGCCCTATCATAGAGGCTGGGTGGCTGGACTAGCGCCTAGAACTGCCGCTCTTTCCAGGGGACTTTGTGGTAATTTGATGCCAGGACCATAAAAATCACAACCTTAGATTAAGACAACACAGCAAACCATATAGAACAAACCATTGTTTCTTAGTTTGGTTTCTAAAGACCAACCTTCCCATGATGAAATACCATGACTGGGTTTGGACAACACGACAGACCAAGAGTGGTGAAAACCCATCATGGCTTGTTGTGTCGCCTGAATCCAGCCATATCTTGGTGAGAGATTTATGGCCGAGGAGGCATTTCAGTCTAAGCCCAACATGCCACCTGCTCCTTTTTATGAGTGTGACTTTCCCAATTTTCTGGGCTAGTTTATGCAGGACGCGGTAACAGGTGGTCTTCTTCACATAGGGTGGGGGCTCAAACCCTGCGCCCCCCTTTAGGGTAGCTTTTCCCTGCCCGTTTCTGGGAGGAAACCCTTGCTGTCACCTCTGAGTCATTTTCGTGCTTACGTGTTCCCCGAGGAAAAGAGTCACCGCACTGCCATCGCACATTAATGAAATAAAAGTCCGCTTATCACCATGGCTGGATTTAGCAGATAAGCTTTTGAATTGTGCACTTGAAAATATCTAGAAGGCAATGTAGGCACTCGCTTTTTCTTTTTCGCAGAGCCTGTTTTGCTCTTATTCTCCCTGGAATTATTTAAACCTGAAAGGAGCTCAATGGGGCGATTCGGGAACAGCCTTTTGCTTTCCTTCCAAAGAAAGGAAAGGCCAGGACTTACTTGCACACTGTTGTAATGGGGGGGGGGGGGTCCCATTTAAATGGATCACAAAGCAGCACATTTTAATTTCTTTCACTCTGCAGTGCTTCTTCAAAGTTGGAAGAACGTCTGCTAGCCCTCCTTAAGTAGGTCATAGGAGGCCGAGTATGTTGATCAAGCCCGCTTGTGAGAATGGCACAAGGCAGCTTCTTCCTCGTGCACAGGGTCTCTCAGAGGTCCCTTGTTCATGGAAAATAGAGGGAAATACTGGGCAAAGTTGGCAGGACTGACTCAAGAAAGACACGGCATTGCTTCACACGCAGGTCTGTCTCGGCTTCCGTCTGAAGACCCCACTGCAGCTTCTTTTCCTTCTGTCCCGGCTCTTTTTTCAGTGTTCATAGCCTTCTGCTAAGTGGATCGTTAGTCGGTACTGTGGGATGCCTGAGCAGAGGAACCTCTTATTCTGAGTGCTTTTTGCCAACAAATGGTGCATAACAGCTTCCATTAAACAAGTAACTTTATTTCGAAGCCAGAACTTAGCCAATGCCCCTTCTCCAGCTTTTCCACTGATGCAAACCCCATTCCCACCTGAGAGATCTGGGCAGAGATGACCCCTAAAAACAGCCTTGCTTTCCATACATACTGGTATATGTATGGCGACATATGTATGGTGACATACAGGTATGTGAGGGGGCGTCACACGGAGGTGGGCAGAGACCTGTTCTCCCCTGCAGAGAAAGGCAGGACGCGCTCCAACAGAGCAAAGCTCAGGGAGCCAAGGTTCCATTTAGGTGCCAGGAAGCACTTCCTGACAGTCAGGACCCCGAGGGTGTGGAATGGGCTTCCATGGGAGGTGGTTGAGGCCCCATTGGTGCAGGTGTTCATGGATAGGCTGGACGTCCACATGGTGGGCATGTCGTGAGTGGAGCCGGCTGGAGCTGGGGGTCAGACTAGATGGCCTGGGAGACCCCTTCTGACTCACTGTTTCTATGTTTCCTGTAATTTGTTTCTTCTTTCTTTTCTGAATCCTAAATTCCCAATGAACTCTTCTCGCTCGTTCACCTCCGATGCCTTTTTCTTCCCCTGTTTTCTCTCTGCTTGCTTCCGCCACTCCACCAAAATAGAAAACGAAGAAGAAGAAAAAAGAAGCAAAAATAAAAGGAGGAAGGAAGACCGGTGCAGAAAGCTGAATAGAACAGCATGAGTTGAGAAGGATCCAGACAGGAGCTGGGTAGATATTCACGCCAGTCGTGAGGCTAGTTTTGCTGCTGGGCTTAGATGAAAGCAAGGCGAGAGGATGGGAAAACGGGGGGGGGGGGGCAGGTAACGTAACTGGGATTGTGTCTGTGCTGTTGCTGTCTGCTGATCGGCAACGGCCTGCACCGTGTTGAAGCCGGCCACAATTCCAGTCAGAGCGACTGCCAGGGAATCACAGAACCTTTGATCCATGGTTGCACATGCATGAATGAAAACCACGCGGTGCGTTTTTAGAGCGATCACAGGGTTTGGTATTATATGCAATTCGTTCAAGCGCACAAATCTATTTCCACCCCAGGGAGGCAATCCAGCTCAGTGTCCGCCTTTAATCTGTTCTTGCGTGTGAACCAAGTTGTCGTTTCCGGCTTCCCAGGTCACAAAATATCTTCCAGTTGCTCCAGACAGAGGTTGGACATTCAAACTGGCAGCGATTAATTCACGCAAGCTTTGCAGCCAAAGAGGGTCCTTGTTAGCTTCCTAAAAGGTGCGCGTGCCAAAGCTGCCTTGTTACTTTGAGCCCATGGAGTAGCGCGATCCCATACACGCTTCTGCTTCGACGCGTTCAGTGGGACCGCCTCACACGCGCTGGTCACCTCACTGTCCACACGTCCTCCTGAGAAGTTTCTCCTCTTCTCTCAGTTATTACAGGGGGTCCCTTGGAGAACAACTACAGGCTGAAGCAGTTCCATTTTCACTGGGGGGCCGTAAATGAGTGGGGCTCAGAACACACGGTGGACTGCAAGGTTTTCCCCGCAGAGGTAAGAGCGGGGAAGAGGGTTGCTGCACCCACATGCAGCTCACTACACGCGCCTGGGCGCATGCCCACTGCTTCCCACTTCCCAGGTGCGCCTGGGTCCAAAACAACCCAGCCTCTTTGCTGTGCCTTAACCTTAACCCGGGATGGTTGAGGGAGAAGCAACCCAGCGTTTTTAGCCCATGGTTTCTGGCTGGGTTAGCGGTTTGGATTGTCCCTCCCTCAGCAACCCAGTGTGCCAGGGTCACGCAGCCATCCGAACAGCCCAGGAATAGGCAGTGTGTGGGTTGCTGGCTAAACTGCATGCCAAGTGGTCACGGGTTGCTCCGTGTGAGCTGGGGCAGTGTCGGATTACGCTGCAGGAACTGTCCGTCTCTGGTGGCTTCCGCTCCTTTGGTTTTCTCCTGCTTCTCAGCCACGGTTGCTCTCCGAGCAGTTTTTCTATAGCCAGAAAAGCAAGACTGGCCCTGCCCACGGGGCTTGCAGTCCAGAATGACCCCTTCCAAGGGAGACGGTGTGGGGAGGCACAAGGACGGAACGCACGGCCACGCTTGTTTTCATGCTCTCCTGCAAGCAGATAGAGAGGGCGCTGGAGGCCCATTGTCCTTCGGGCCATTTTTGGGCAGCCGCGAAAGCAGGCTTGGGCTCCGTTTCGAGGACGTTGAGGCCCAGTTTGAAGGGGGAAAACCAACGATGGCCTTTCTTTGTTCCAGCTGCATTTAGTACACTGGAATTCTTGCAAATACCAGAGTTTTGAAGAGGCCATTATGGAGGACAATGGGCTGGCTGTGATCGGAGTCTTCTTGAAGGTAGGGAAGCAAAATTCACCTTCCAGGGACTTGTTCTGAACTATCGATTTGGGAAGCAGAGAGATGCTTTCCTTAAAGAGTAAACGCTTTTGAAGGAACTGTTGCGTTTTGCCGTTGCTTGTTGAGGGGTGTTGCTGTTCTATAGGATAACAGAGAAGGATACAGCCCTGTGGTTTAATCAGACTGATGCATCCATCGGTGCGTGTGACAAGGAAGAGAAAAGGGAATCACGGGGAGGGAGGAGGAGTTGGAGAACCTTTGGCACTCTCCTTTTCGGAGTGGGCACTTCCGTAGATTTCTCTGTAGTCAGATTGAACTGGTGGAAATATGTGGGAGCAAAGAAATTGGGGTGCCAGAAAACATTTCTGCTCCATGTATTCCTACCTGGCACCATGTGGCTTTTTCAGTGCCTGGTGAGAAGCTTCTTATTTGCCAGACATTTTAATAGATAAGATCTGTTTTAATTCTGTTTTTACTATATTTGCTGCTATGCTGTGTATTAATTTTCCCTACTTGCTGTAGGTGCCGACCTTTGATATATTGGTTTTATTGTTTTTGTTTATTTAAATTATTATTTATTAGATGTTTATCCTGTCCCATTAAGCCACAAGGCTCCCTGGGTGGGTAACGAAAAAAAAAAAAAATCAGTATAGCCATATAAGACTAACATCTCAATATTAACACCTAATCATAGGACAATTAAAAAACATTTTATTGTTATTTTTTTTAAATGTAAACTACCCAGAGAGCCCAGTGGGCTATAGAGTGGAATAAAATCTCAAAAATAAATGAATAAATTTTCACCTGTGTGCATGAAAGAAGAGTTTGAGTGAACATGCCAGTCTCTGGATACAGTAAGTAAAAATATGTAGTTCCCATCTTTGCCTTTGCAGCTCGGAGCCAATCACAGGGGCCTTCAAAAACTGGTGGATGCCTTGCCTTTGATTAAGCACAAGGTAAGAGGCGTTTTGGCGTGAAAACCCTTGCACCAGCATTCCACGCATGATGCAAGGGCAGTCCGGGGTTTGCCCAGAGCTGCCCGCAGAACCATAGCCAGTTCCAACCCTTGACAACTTGAGCAGAATGCTGCATTTTTCCAAATAGGACCATTGTAGCCAAAAACCGAGTCTTATGGCAACTTAAAGAGTAACACTGCATTCTGTAATTGACCTTTCTGGACGCTCTCCCTGGCATCAGATGCGTCCATGGGTGCCGTCAAGTTTTCAAGTGTGTTTTCAACACATACAGACAGTGAGAATCAGCTTAACTCTTAACTCTTGTCCTTCACAAAAAGTTGTTAGGAGAGAACGAAAAAAAGTCTGAGGATCTTTGCTCAGTGCCGGCAGGACAGATGCCGCACACAGGAACTCCACTGCAAACAGCACCAACTACCAATGTTTGAATTTGCTAGGATGCTCTGGTCGAATTCGAGGAGTTTGACCCGTCCTGCTTGTTGCCGTCATGCCCGGATTACTGGACGTATGCGGGGTCTTTGACCACTCCACCGCTTTCCGAGTCTGTCACCTGGATCATCAAGAAGGCGGCAGTAGAGGTTGATGACGATCAGGTACGTGAAGCGCAAATGCAGCGCCGGCGTCTGGCTCTGGATGTGTGAAAGCAGGCGGAAGAGTGAGCTGAGACGGTGTCTCGCGGGCACTGACCCACTCCAAGTAGGGTAGCCGTTAGTTTTGGACTGGGACTTCAGAGTCCCAAGGTCTGGTCATCACTCAGCCGTGAAGTTCACAGAGTGACCTTGAGCTCGTCACGGACTCTCAGCCTCACCTACCCCACAGGGTGGTTGTGAGGATGAAAGGGGAAGGAGGAAAAAGAGATCCCCTGGAGCTCCTTGCAGGAAAGGTGGGATATAAATGTCAGAAACAAATTAGTCCGGATGCTAAACACCATCCCTAGCGGCCGCGTACCTTAAGCAAGCAAGCACGGCTAATTTTCGCTGGGACCTGCTTGAAATTAAGGCAGCGAACACAGTGACCGTGGTGTAAGCAAGGCAGCTGGCGGGGGGTGTTGGTTAGGAGCAACCGAGTGACACTCAAGGCAGGCGAAGAACGCAGGCCTGGTTCAGAGACAGCCCCCCTCACCAAATGTTCAGGCCTCGTCCCATCTCAGGCACGACACGCTGCAAATGATATAGGCCAGGCTGACTTCCAGACTGCAAGCAATAGCTGGTCTCACGTGACCCGCTCCAGATGGGAACCAGCCCTTCCCAGCAGCTGCTGATAATCATTCGAGTTGTCTGAGAGCGCCAGAGAAAGAAAAAGGGGGACGATGTTTGTTTGTTTGGAATTTTTGTATGCCGTCGCATTCGCATAAGCCTCGGGATGGCTTCCAACATATAAATATCTATAAAATACATATAAAATCTGGAAACAGCCTGGCAATAATTTAAAACCAATAAATAAAACCAACACTTATTAAAATATCGTTAAATAAAAAGGTCTTGGCCTGGCCCCTTCCCAGTTCCTCTCCTGACTTCGCCTTTTCTCCTCCCCAGCTCGAGGTCTTTCGGATGCTGCTCTTCACCCCTGATGGAGAAGAAGAGAAGAGGATGGTGGACAACTTCCGTCCACTGCAGCCAATCATGGACCGCACTGTACGCTCCTCTTTCCCGGTCCAGCCCAGACTGAGCGTGGACACAAGGCCCAGTGAGCAGATGTACCGGATCCAGGAGCAAGTGCCCTTTAAGGAGACTGCATATCTTTAAGGAAGAAAGGCCTTAAAGGTTCTTCGCACCTTGTATGTAATTTTTAGGATATAGCTACATGGATGCCTGCCTGGAGAGGCGGTTGCCTCAGCAAGACTGGGGCTTTTCTGGACTTTCTTTTTCGTAGTACAGGACCCTGTTCTGACTAAATGCCTTCTGTCGGCAGCAATGCAAAGCATCTCTGTAAGAGTTCCAAGCCTTGTTCTACCATCAAGATTTCTCTCCACCCGGTTGTTGTTTTTGGCAGAGCCACAAGACAAGCAGGGAAAGGTGTCCCAGGAGGACGCCACAGAGGTTTAACGAAGCCTAGCTCTTTGGGAAAAGGCAAGGCATGGTTTGGAGGGGTTTGGAGGGGGGAGACAGCTTTTCTCAGCAGCCTGGTGCTTATCTTGGTCCAGATGGCCTGATCTTATCTGCCTCCGAGATAAGTCAGCTCTAACTTTATAGCAGTTATATATTTAAGTGCATCTTCTGTGTATGCCGTCTGGACCCAGAGAATAAGATTGCAAAAGCCACTTCTGTAGTGGATTTTAGCAGATTTCAGATGGTGAATCAACGCAGGTGGACTTGCAAGCCCGTTCAGGTGAAGGAGATATTGCCGGCCTCCCAAGAAAAAGGCCCAACTCCTTCTGCCTTCATGTCAGCAAATGCAGCCGGCCTACTAACGTGGCTGCCACATGCATGCAGATTATCTGCAGAATGATCTCAGAACAGAATATAGATAACCAGCGGCAGTTTAGATTACTTTCCACGAAGAACATTCTGAGATTTGGATGTGCCTCCGTTAACAGTGCTCAACTCTGGAAACTTGTTTAGCTTTCTCCAACTATAGCCTATAAGTATTGGGGAGTTTGATGTTATAGTTTTAGTATGCAAGCGTTAAACTAATCATGCTAATGTTGCCTTTTAAGTCTACTAAACGTTGTTGAAATTGCAGGGTGAACGGGAAACCGTTTTCCGCCAGTTTCACTTGCTTGAGCAGTGATTGCTCCTTTATGTTCTCCCCAATCTGTTTAATTTTCCATTTTTTCCCACATGGGGCAGTGACTCCTCCTCCTCAAAAGGGCATGGCTTCTTTTCTGCAAGGTTATCCTCTCTCCTTTCGGAAACTGGTGCTGGTGATCTTTCACACCAAATAGACATCCAGCATGACAAAAATTACCCTGTGGGAGATGCCATCCTAGATATATTTAGGATAACTATTTTAAGGACTGTAGAGAGGAAGAGTTGTTCACCACGCACAGCGGTTTAGTCCCTTGCAGAAAGGAGGTAAACTTTATTTCCAGCCGTGGTGTTGATCAGACGCGTGACAGGTAGAATTGACTTTGCTTTTCGGAGACAGGATTACTGTCTGGGCTTAGAGTATATATGCAGCTCTTTACGTTGAATAAGTTTATTTTCTCGACAATTCTCGTGCCTGCATACTTGTAATATCTTCCTTCAGGTATCTCTATTTCTACTTTCAACAAACCAAACAAATGATGGTGAGACTGGTGGGATTAATATCCTCCCCCAGGGCATAGATAAAAGGCGAAATAAACTGTTACATTTAAGTTGATGAATCCGTTAAACACAACACTTATTTACAAACGCTTTCTGTTGCCACAAGTTGTTTCAGTTTTTAATCCTCTTTCTGCGAAGGGAAAAATAAAGAACTGTTTCATTGCATGGAGAGAGCTTGTGACTAGATAAAAACCCTACTAAATTGCATTGGTGTGGAAGAACAATTGCTCGCTGTGTTGAGAGATTGGTGCTGCTGGAGAATACCGCGACAGTTCATTATGCTCTTGGACTGCATGAAACTGTGCTTTGAATGCCATTGTATTTGTCTCTTCGCTCGAGCAAGAACTATAAAGAGCACCAAGCAAAATGTTCACTGTGCATCTTTAATTTTGCAAATTGCTGCCTTTCAAAAGAGTGCGGTGGAGTTGTGTCTGGCTCTGGGTTAGCTAGGCCTTCCGCCTCCCGTGAAACAACGAATGGCTCGGCCGAGCCCAGAGGCTGCCCCTTGATATCCGGGTGGGATGTCATGTTGGTGGGAGCTGAGAGCCAGGAAGTGTGTTCTGCTCCCACTTCTTCAGTTCCAAAATGGCCCGGCAGGATTCCGACGTGAGCCAGGCACAGTTCTCCCCGTCAGCTGCTCTCGGCAGTCTCTTGCATCGCAGGAAAGCAGCATGTAAAGGTCACTTACCAAGGAGGTATTAAAAAGGCTCCTGCGTGCAAAACAGAGGACTTGACCTTTCAGAACGGAAGAGCAGGTTGGTGAGCCTGCGGCAGTGAAGGGCATCCTGGGCAGAAAGGTAGCTTTAAAATTAACGGCTGAGTGCCCCGTTCAGTGGGTCGGGTCACCAGTTGTGCATTATGCGTTGCACCCAATTTTAACCAGAGCAGACTCACAGAAGGCAATGTGACTTGAGATACTCACGACCTCACCTGGATTTGTCCCACTGGCTTGTATCCCAAGGAAGCGTCACATTGCCAATAAGCAGTCCTGCTCATGGAAAAGTGGTGGCTTTCCCCTGGTGGCCGCGCAAGCCTGGCCAGTGCTCTGCTCTGCAAAGAGAGATTATTTTGCACATCGTGTTTTGAAGCGGGGAGATTGTCTCCGATTGCATGCCCCTGGAACCTTTGAAGAAAATTTGATTACAAAACCAGCACTCCCATGTGCTAATACTCAGGCGAGCGGGGGCTGCCACATCAAAGGGAGTCCTCTGTCCGGGGCATAATTCAACTTGAAGCAAAAGTGGAGCGGCCCCAAAGCCGGAAGAAAATGCAGAGTCTGCCTCTAACACAATGCTTTACCTATTGTCCTGCTCCGAAATGTAAGTTACTTGCTACCCAAGGAAGTTTCATCTTCCATCCAGCATCTGTGGCAGTGAAGTCTTGCATGGCTCATCTTCCCTCTGTGACACGCACACCAGGTTGCGTGTACGCAACAAAGACAGCCGTCACCCCGTGCAGGACCTGCCTCTCCCCCAAATGCTTTTTGCCTCCCTTTCTCATACACAGACTGCTTCCCCCGTTCAGACATGCACGGGCATCCTACCCAGTGCCCTAGGCTCTTCCCACCGGGGCCCCCTCCACCCTGCGCCTTGGAGCCCCCGCCCCATCAGCAGCGATCAGCGTCCCTCCTCCCCTCCGTTTTCTTGGTGGCTGGATGCACAGCGGAGCAAAGCACTCCCAGCACCTACCTGCCACCTTGATCCCCCAGGTGTGCTGCTAAGCCCCAGAAGCATCATGGGAAACAAAGATGGCGGCAGCTGAGGGCCCTCTGTGGCCACCCCACCCTGTGGGAAAATGTTCAAAGACCAGGAAAGGGCAGGCACCGAGGAAGAATTTTGCAGACACAACTTTGCCTACCCCACAACCTATTCCAACCATACTGCCAGTTCCTGTAGAAAGTTTTGTACAGAAGACAGGGCAACTCAAGACATTGTCTTCTGCAGACGACCACTGTGACGCTGCACATGCACGGGATAACGGGATGTCTCAGAGCAGGGATGTCTCTCTCGGAGGTCAGTGGCCAGAGGTGGGTTTGCTTCCTCTGCTTCCAGCCAGCTCCCAAAAAGGCTGGGCCACTAGGGGGCGGGCTCTGATCACCCAAGAGCCTCCCATCACCTTAAGGACAAACACAGGTAGGATTGCATCAGCTTCCAGCTTCAGCATCCACAAAAGCTTATCCCAGAATCAATGCTCCCATCTTTTAAGATGCCACAACAGCATGTACTGTTGCGATTACAGCCAACACTCCGCACGAAATAGCAGGGAGAAGAGGGGCAAACAGAACCCGCAAGGAATGGCTAGCCTCTACCAACCAGTGCGCCCAAATTTCAGGGGAAATCATAGTCACAGAGTCCAGACACGTTTTAATGTGCTTTTTCTTTTTTTGCCAACTCCCCTGTGAGTGCAGTAAGCACTGAGACAAGACAATCTTTTAAATAATTGTGGAAATTTCAGCAATTTACCAGGTCAGTAGGGTTGCTCTCTTTGTTTTGTTTTGTTTTAAATGGGAGCCATCCCTGTAATGAAATCCCTGTAAATGTGGAGTTTTATATAGGCTAGGCCAGGTGCACCGCAGTGGCCATGCAAAGAGCTGGTCTTACAATCTGAGGCTACAACTTTGAGTCGTATTTAGGTTGTTGCCGGCTGCACTCTGGGAAGCCTCTTTTTTCTCTCCATGCACTGGGTGCTGTAAAATTATCCAAAGATGAGCTGTGCCCTTCTCACAGGGGAGGATGCCGCCCCCGCCTCAAATTTTTTAGATGTGCCCCAACTGCTGGGGCACATCTGAACTGGCAGGGACTGTCCTGTGCCGAGATAAGGGTCGCGTGATCCGAACATCCCTTTCACAAGGTCATGCGCTCTTCTGGGTTGCTTTCTCCACATTTCTGTTGAGGGGAGAAAGCCGTTCGCAGGGTTTCGTTAACGGCGCCCTTACCTTTTCTGTCCCTCCTCCCCTTCCTCAGCCCATCCGCATGGCGAGCGTGCAAACCACGCCGGGGCGACTGCGGAACCTGAAAGACGCAACGCGTTCACTGTGTCACAAATTTGCTCTGCTCAGTCTTTCGGGGCTGCTAAATTCTCTGCTGACTTGGCTACAAGCGGCTGCGCTGGAAGTGGGGCAAGCGCGGCCGCCGCTCGCACGGGCCGCGTCAGCGAGAAGCGCCCCGAGGCGAGAGCCGGGCGCGCCTCCCCCGGAAAGGCAGGCGACCGATGGCGAGTTCCCCCGGCCCCGCGTCGGGCGCCGCAGCCCGCCCGGGGTGGGCCCCCCCCCCCGCCGAGCGCCCGCCGCAGCGGCGCGGAGGAGGGTGGCGCGCGGCCCG